CAGTCTCGGCTCCACCAAGTCCATCCTGGCTGCAGGGGGGCCGCCTGCCATCTTGTCACCGGTTGCAGGGGAAACTCAGCTCTGGCACACCTCATCCCGTTCCATCTTCACTGACCTGGTGTCTGTGTAGACGTTTCTCTCAGATCTCAGTCTTCTCTGGGTGAACTCAGCCCAGCGGGCACCCCGGGAGTGGGGTGCTCCCCGAGTTCCCCAGTCGGCTCCGCTGCCGCCATCCTCAGTGGGCGGCACTGGCCCAACGCAGGCAGCCGCCCGGCCGGGAGCCAGGGAGCGGGGGCAGTGCCCTCCTCCCTCTCTCCTTGCTCCTGGGCAAAGCACCTTTTCCGGTTCCTTTGTCCCAACTTAAATAGGGCAATTCACAGAGGCGCTGATTGGCTCAACCCCGAGGGGGATGGCAGTCTGATCTGGTGGCCAGAGCTAAGCCTAACCCAGTTCCAAAACCAGGGAGGTCACAGGGAGCAAAACCCCTCTCCTGCCACCAGAACCCCCACTCGCCCACACCTCAAACCATGACACTATTGTGTTATATTTATAATAAAAGGGACATAATAATGTTTTAATGTCTTTTTTTCTAGAAGAGCAAAGATGTATTCTTCAGTTTATCCCCTTTAAGTATACACAAGATTATTTCTCAGCCATACTGAAAAGAATGTTAACAATTTAGCCCAAAACAACATGGTTTTCCTTCAGTTCCTATCTTGGAAACTTGAACAGAAACATTTTTAAATTCACTGAAAGATTGAGAAATTTTAAGAGAAATTCACAGTTCATTGGGTTCATGAGGTTCATGAGGGTTTTTTTTATAATTTGTAATAAAACATAGAATCAGATATACATGTTGAGTTGCTGCTTTGCAAAAGTTTAATGTAGTTGCAAAAACAACTGATGATTGGGAGGCAGCAGTTGCTATAGTTCATGATAAACAGCACTTTCTCTCAGGTGGTTTGTATGCTCCAGTAATGGTTTCATTAAAATGTTAGCTGGTACATTTTAGAATGTTTTCCCACTCTAGATGCACTTTAAGATCTTTCCCAGATTTCTTCCTGGGAAGGCCGCTGTATTTAGTTTCCTGAGAGCTTTTATGCCTGTACTATTTGTCTTCTAACACTTATCCAAACCACTGTTCTGTAGAATGTTTCCTGAAATTATTTGTTGACCATTTTGCCTACTGCCACAACAGACAGTGGCTAAACTGTCATTTGCTTGAACAAATCAATATATATCAAAGCAGATAATTTTTCTGGCTTTGTAACTTCCCATGTGACACTTATTCTGGGAGTCTGAGATAATTACATTTTCATATAGATCTATTATGGATGTCAGATATCCTAGTGCTGTCAGTGTCCGATTCTGACAGTTTCTCAAATAACAACATATTGTGTTCCTTTAAAGAATTTTTATACTTGCTAAGCCACCCAGTCTATGTAAGAGAGAAAGGGAAATAAATTAGGTTTTTTGTTTACATTATGCTCTGGGAATTTATGCCTCACACTGATTATTTTTAAATGCTTTCCCATAAAGAATTGTTCTCATGCATCCCCTTGCAAAGAATATATTTACTGTTTATTAGAGTAGCGTATGACCAGCTGTTCTGTTAGATATGGCCAATGGTAACAGTGAAGCAGGGTTGAAGACTATCAAATTTATTTACTATTCAATAAGAAAGTCAACACATGAAAGACCTTGGGAGACTGAGTGATCCAAGGTGTCTGGAAACGTTTCATTATCCTTCTTTGTGTAATTTAGACTTTGTGGGTATTTTTATTCAGGGGGCAGTACTAGCAGCTGTGTCAAGCCACAAATTCAACTCCTTCTATGGTGACCCTCCTGAAGAGCTGCCAGACTTCTCTGAAGACCCCACCTCCTCAGGTATTTTAACAGAAAGTATATTTACTGCAGTTAACCTGTCTTAATTCTATACTGACTAGAGTCTCAAGTATTTACTAATTTCTCGTTATTTCATAAAGTTGTGTATTAAGTTAACATTTAAATGTGAAAGCATAAATAATTTTCAGTCAATGGTGTTAGTGACTGGAGAAGATGAAGATAAAATCTCTGCACAGTTTTAAGTTTCTACAGAAATCCTGTCTGATTTTTTGTATTTGTTGTGTGTGCATTTAATTATAACTAGTGCTATAACCTCGTATTTTTCTTCATATTACTTCAGTGTAAAAGCTTATTGAAATTTTGTCTTGAATTCTAGGTGGGAGCAAGGTTCTCATACCTTATTAATAATTATTTATAAATAAAAAGAAGCCATTGTGCACCAGAGTTTCTTGACTGCCTGTTTTACAGAACAGTATGATAAGATGTCTCCTGTTTATAGCATGCTGGATGGTATTTCTGATACTATAACAATATAGGAATTGTGGGCAATTTCTTTTGTTGAAATTCTTACATTTCACTTCTTGGAATTCAAGTTTGAGAACTTAAATTAAAAGATTGCTTCGTTCTTAGAAAAGCACACGGCTTATAACTTCCATAGGAGTGAATGGGAATCTCAGATCGTTTATTGCAAATGGGTAAACACAGCCTCATGGCTTAACGTCAGGCAGCCAGCTTTTGAATACTTGATGTACTTGTAAGTAAGGATCCATATATTCTTTTAAAGAAAGAATAAGTTGGTTTTACTTCACCCAGAATTCCTTGCAGTGCTTTAATTTTTGTTTCCAGCTACTTCCTTCATTTCAGTAAAACAAATAGGACACCAACATGATTGGTATTGGCAACGTTCCTAATCTAAAAACTGCAGTTCTTCTTTCCAGTTTCGGTCTCGCATCAACAGGACATGTGTCTTCCTCAGAGGGTGATGTAATTGCAGATATCAGTATACAGCAAAGGTGCAAGTTCTGTTTTTTTCTGCACATAGAATACATGAATCTAGCACACATGTAAATTCTGCAGAGCATCTGCTGGATCCACTGTTACCGTGTGTTCATCTCTGAAATAACTGAGACAGCAGCTTAGATTTCTAAGGAAAGCATAGTTATTCTCTAAAATAACATTGTTGATCTCACTGATGGGAGATCACAGTGATCAGAAAACCATACTAAGTGGGTAGTTTTCATGATGTTTCCTCGACTAACTACATTAGCTGATAAAATATTTAATATCTAAGGATAAACACTGGGGCTTGCAAGAAAAGATACTGCAACTTTCAGCTTCTGAAATTGCTAGATATAGGAATCTATTTTGTTTCCTCTTCAGAAGTACGCTAATAAAGTTTTCAAATATTTCTAGCTTGTAAAGATGGACTGTTGTGATGATTCTAAACTGAACTAGTTTATAGAAATTAGACATAAAACTCTTGAATTGTAGTAGAAACTTGACTATCTTAAGGTTATTTAGGTTTTTTTCCTAACATCTCATAATGTTATTCCAGATCATAAACTCTAATGAAGAGAGTTTAATATTTTAGATGTTGCTACCTATTTAGTCCTCCCATAAAATTTCATGAAGCTTACCATTAAAATTAAATTGTCAGAAATGGGCAAATGTGTAACTCCTGCTGAGATAAAGATGCAGAAATGTAAATGCTTATTAGAGTATGCAAATTGTATATCATGTCCTCCTCCAGGTCTTTCTAAACACGGAAACAGAAAATTTCAATTCTGGGTTTTTTTTCCGGATTAATATAGAGATGTTCTTCCTCAGAGTTCAGTGAACCTGGGATTGCTGGACCCTTCAAGCATCTTCCTATACTACCAGAGTAATAGCATGAGATATGAAGATGCTATCGGTAGCAAGTCAGATGATTTTCGTAGATGCAGGATCACAAAGGATATTCTTGTCAAAGAGCTTTCCAGTGAGGGTCAGCAAATTGCATAACTAAATTAGATGGGAATGAACACAGGTAAATTTCATATCAAGTCAACCAGGTATTTTTCTGTATACATCTTTCGTTTGTAATTTTTGGTTCCCAAAACTTGTTCTGGGTCATCTATTTCCTCTTTTGACAGCAGCTGTCCTCTGAAGGACTTGACTTAATCCCGCTATCATTCTGTTGGTAACATGGCAGAAGTCAGTCTTGCTGAATTTTGAGAGACTATGATAAAGACTTTTAAAATGTTTTGAAAAATTAGGTAAATCTTTACTAAACTAAAATATTACCTTACTGCTGATAGTCTGTGTTCAGTAATTTCTTCATTAAAGCTGTTTAACAGCTGAAATGACAAGCATCTTGCTAATCTCTTTGCTAGAATGTAGAACATTTGACTTTCAGGTTACCCATCTTCAAGACATTGTAAAATGTCAATTTCCCAAGGCAGTGAATGTTTTGGATATTTTTAATATACTGAAACAAATATTAATTAGAAGTTAGCAATCAGCAGCCCTAAAGGCTAAATCTGGCACATGAGAAAAATTGGCACGGTAGGGAGTATTTGAAGTGGACCATGAAATTAATTAGGTGCTAGAGAAATTCACAATCAGCTGGCTCTGTGCTGCCCTTCCCCATCCTACTCCCACCCCTCTCACCTGCCCTCTATAACGCCCGCTTGGATTGCTTGGTGTATAGTGCTTGCTCATATTCTGAAAGAGGACTAACAAGTTTCAGAGTAGCTTTTTGCTGCAAGGCACTTTATAATGCTGTGTTTCGGTTTAACCACCGAGAAAGTACTGCAGCATATTTTATAACAGACTGACTGACCAAATGCGCTTACTTAGCCTAGGCTAATAGATAGCAAGCACTGTTGCAGTACTTCCTGAGCATTTATGTGCTTTCTGAGCTCCATGGTAACGGTGTAAGGTGATGAATGCAGAACCAATGCTTTTGCATCGCACAGAAAGCGGGCACATTAAGTCTGTATCTAACTTGTTTTCTCAAACTGCAAGGCACAAATTTCATATGGCATTTTTATAAATGCATTTTGATATTTTGTCTCAGGATTGGTGTATGTATGTCAATTGAAGTTTTCATTCTTTTTGATCTTGTTAGAATCTATGTTGTCATATCAAATGAGAAAATTTTAACAGTACAAGATCTCAATTTTCAAATTTGAAAGTAATAATAATAATGGGAAAATCTCTGAATCTTTCAGAGTAGGATCAAACAGCAAATGTACAGCCAAGTTATAAGATCACTGTTTCCAACATGCGTAGAACTAGCTTAACTCACACGTTAGTGAATGATTAGTAGTTTCATGGGATTTAGCTTCCACAATGGGCAATATAAACCCATTTCTTAAAAACAATCTACCTCATCAACAAGAGGAAGAAAAAAATATTGTTGTTATGCAAAAGTTACCACTGATTTTGCAAAGATTTGCAAAAGGGTCTTGTGTAACATTTTTAAGTAGGAGTGCTTCGAAAAAAAAATTGCATTCACCTTACAATTTACTGTTATTAATTCCTTATCTGGTGTTACAGGTATAACTGACTATCAGTTTTGAGATCATGAGTTTGAGTGTTTACAATACTCTGTTATTATCTTTATGATTTTTTCAGCTATTTAGTCTTTGTTCTGGTATGTTTGAATACAAGAACTTTTAAGTATATAAAGTCACTGTTAATTAAAATCAATAATAAAGTGGTTGTCTTTTTAAATGATTCTCACTGAAACTTTTGTTGAAAAATTTATTTCAATGTAATATTGCTAAATTCTAGTTAGTAAATATAAGCGTATAAAGTAATATGTTACACTTCATTTGCAGTGTGTTGAAATAGTTTGTCTGTTCACTTCTTACAATATTCTTACTTGAAATAATTTTTTGTTCCTGAATTTTTTTTAAATAGTTTGACCAATATTGGAAGAAGTCTAGTATTATAAATATCTAACACTGCATACATGTGCTACCTTTCCAATGCCAAGTGTGTGTTTTCCTCCCATCCCAGTCTGCAAGTCCCGTTTGCTTCACACATAGAAAGCATATTAAAAAAAAAAGAGGAGGGGATTTTTGTCAGTTTGTTCATACTATTTTGTGGCTAAACTAGTGTGCTAGGTTGCAGCTTTATAAATCGCTTGTTCTGAAATCTTCATACTGTTTGTTGTTTGTCCAAATGCTGCCTTCCTACTAGGACTTCTAGCAGCAGAAAGTAGGTATCCCTTTGTTTTCCTTTAAGGCATATCATTCAGATATGGTGTATGTCTTTGCATGTTTCAAAATCAGCTTTCTTCTCTTCGCTATTTTCAGTTTTAATACTGCCTGTTCAAGAAAAACAGCCTGTATGTTTTTGACTAAATCCGTCTATAACTTTGAAAATATAATTATCCAGAAGTAATATGATTTCCAGGGAATTCCGAAAATTCTAGTTTAGAGGCAGTATTAAAATTACCTGGTTTTTTTTTGTTTTCAATATTTGCAACACAGCTGAAATAAAAGTTAATTTTCATTAAATTAATAAAGGATAACAATGGTTTGATTTTGCATTTTAGTTCCAAAATTAATGTTTTGCTGGACTAATGGGCTTTTTTTTCTCCTGACACTGAACATATACTGTAATATTACTCATATATTATTTTCTTGCTATACCCTTGCATGAACTTTCTTGATCATTTTGTGTTTGTGATACATGATATATGCATATGCATTGTGTATATGCATATACTTGATTTAAATAAATATCCAATATATGTCTCCGTAGTGAAGGAGTATTATAGACATATAGGGAGGAGGTTCTGCTGCAAGTTAACTGCACGCTTCGTGAGAGGCTGAAAGTGCACACACCTCTAAAACCTGCAGACTATACTAGACAGAGGAGAAGGTGTGAAATTCTAAACCCTTTCATACAAACCACAACAGTTTCAGAACCAACAAATTCAGCATCTCAAAATACAGGAGGGGTTTTCCTGCAGCATTTTAAGATTTGTTAACAGTTCTTCTTCCATCCTAGGTCAGGGCAGCAAGACATAGGTCCGTGTTTCCATTTCTGATGAAAATCATGGATTTTTGATGTTGTTTAATTCATTCTTTTGATCTTATAGGTTGTGGGGGATGTTGTTCCTTGTCCTCCTATTTCCCCATCTCAGAATGCCTGTCCAGTAATGTGTGAGTGAGAACTCAGTGGATTTTTAGATAAATGTTTTGCAACGGTATTATTTTTATACAGTCGTAGAGGAAAAAAGAAACCTCATACAAGAGCCTCTGCCACTGATTTTCGGTTTTGATTTGTACATAGAGACTTTCTGCAGTAAACTCACTGACTGTTAGGATTTGCTGCCCTCATACTGGTCAGAATAGAGTTTCCATATATTTTTGCAATGAGAAAGGAAGTATCTAAGGAAGTAATAGTGAAAGGCATTTATTTGTTAAAATAGTTATTTGTTTAGTTATATGTGAGTGTGCTACTTCTAAGGGCTGGGTCTGGTCTGAAAAACAATACCTTCTCACTACACATTTCTTTATCACCATACTAGATTGCCTTCTGTCATATTTGTGGCTAGTTTTACAGTGAGAGATAACTGGGAAAAGGCATTGGCAAGCTTTGTGTAAAGGTCCCAACGATAGACAGGAGAGAGCTGGAGATGTGCATGCACACAGTGCCCTGTGCGAGCAGAATAAAATAAAGACTATCTTCAAAATCAAGCATCTGTTTCTCCCCCCTCCCTTCCCTCTCTCCCCCTCACCCCCTCCTTTTTTGTGTTTCCATACATGGTACTCTCCTCTGCATTCTTGCTTGTGTTCAGGAACACTTTATCTCTTTGTCATGGTTTCGACTGGGACAGATTTAGTTTTCCTTCTTAGCAGTTTTTCTTTTTACCCAGATCTCTATACAGGGCATGCCGTTGCATGATATGGAATACTCCATTGGCCGGTTTGGCCCTCAATCCTAAGCCTAAATTCAAACCATAAGGGGAGTTGTGGACCCTTCATCCCAGCCATGCTCCCCATAGCCTGTTGTGCTCCTGCACACTGACAGGAACACAGGAAGCTGAAAGGTCCTTGAGGTCTCAGTGCCAGCTATGAACATCAGTGTGCTATCAGCATTCTTCTCGTAAGGAATTTCAGACTAAATCCAAAGCACAGAGCTCTTCTAGCTGCTAAAAAGAACAATTAACTCTGTCGCAGTCAAAACCAGGACACTCATTGTTTATCTGTTTTTTGTTGTGGGTTTTTTTTCTTATTTCTTTTTTCTTTGTTTGGTCTTTTCCTTTTTCTCTCCTGCACCTATTTCCTTTGGTGGTCTTCTCAGACTTTTACATGCCTTTATTTCCCTTCTTGTATTCCATAGGTGTTCTTACCTTCTTTAATTTAGTTGTAAATCCCAATACCCTTCTATCACACCAACTGCCTTATTTCTGCAGTTTCACTGTAGTTTCCATAAACCTCCATCTTTCTAGTGCTGTCCCTAGACTCTTC